AAATAAACTTGATGAAAATAACAAGCCTAAGTTGCATGTGATATTCAAGGAGAATTCACAGTATCTGACACATATGCAAAAGTAACATTTCCTTAGTGTTTAAAGTAGCCATTAAATAATTTAGAAGATGAGTGAAGACAGAATTGAGCTGCAGCATCTATCGAATTTTCAGATCTCATTGGCCTCGCCAAGTGTTTCCTTGCCATCACTGTGGCTGTGGAGTCTGTAAAGTACTTGCTGAAATCAGTAAATAAGGCAGAATTAATACTGCTGTAGTTTTATCACAAGGTGCTTTAAAGCACAGGATCTGGAGCTAGATTGCTTGGGTATAAAGGCGAACTCCTCTACTTTCCACTTAAATGGTGGTATATTTATTTCACCTCTCTGTTTTATTTCCTATAAAGTGGGGATAAGAATACTCCTGTCTACAGGGGTATGGTGCCGCCAACAGGTCAATCTGTACCTGTGAGGTGAGTGCATCAGCAGCCTGATGGCAACTTCAGACTTTCAGATGCCCCAAAATTGCTGCTGTGCTTTGGCCAGACTCCAAAAACTTGGGGCAAAATTTACCAAGAAAGTAAATGGCCAAAAGTTAGGTATGTGGGAGACACACCCACAAACCACCTCCAGCTCAGCTATATAATTGGAGGCATGGTCTCTCTGGTTCCTGATTGAACTCCTTATTGGTCATGATCCCAGGGTCTCAGAAACGAATTTCGGAACCCAAAGGCTTTTTGGCAGAAATGCATCTTTTTCCTGCAGTAGGTTACTGGCATTGGGCTGCTCCAGGTGGGAATAGGTTTCGTGCCTTGGCCTGTTCCCTCTGGTGGCCTGGTGACCGCCATCCTCCAGAGGCCACTGGACAGTCAGGTTTGGGCCTGCAATGACGAGACACACGGGGCCTCACCACATGGGGGTGGAGCCGACTCTTTCTCCCCATCCCAACAAGACTCTGAGTCGCTGCCTACAAATGGCCTCTCTGGCTCCTGATCAAGCTAATTAATAGCCATGATAGCGGAGACTCAGAAACAAATCTTGAAACCCAGCAGCTTTTGGCAGAAATGCATCTGGACTGCATGCAAGTTGGCCGCCGGCTCAGAGCTTATTGGAAGCCTGATATGATCCAGCAGTGACGGGGCAACTGCAGTCTCATGGAAAGGGGAGCAGTACCGGCTCGTCCTTCACGCCCTACTGAGGTCACGAGTTGCCCCCCACAAGCGGTTCTCTGGCATGGCCATGGCCCCAGAGGCAAAAGGACTTAATCCAGAGCCTGGAAGCTTGCAGCAGAAAAGTGAATGGACCATGCGTTAAACTACAGCGCCAAGCTTCCCCAGGAGGGAAAGGGTGTTGCTCCCTTCTGCCTTTCCCCGCCAGCTGGCAGCAAGGTGGCCACCACCTCAGAGCGTATTGGAAAGCCAGGTATGAGCCAGTGGTGAAGGGGCAACTGCAGTCTTATGGGAAGGGGGGCGGTACCGGCTCGTCCTCCATGCCCTACCGAGGTCATGAGTTGCCTCCCACAAGTGGCTCTCTGGCACGGCCATGGCTCCAGAGGCAAAAGTACTTAATCCAGAACCCGGCAGCTTGCAGCAGAAAAGTGAATGGACCATGCGTTAAACTACGGTGCCATGCCTTCCTGGGAGGGAAAGGGTGTTGCTCCTTTCCGCCTTTTTACCCCCTGGCAGCAAGGTAGCCGCTGCCTCAGAGCTTATTGGAAAGCCAGGTATGAGCCAGTGGTGAAGGGGCAACTGCAGTCTCATGGGAAAGGGGACGGTACCAGCTTGTCCTTCATGCCCTACCGAGGTCATGAGTTGCCTCCCACAAGTGGCTCTCTGGCACGGCCATGGCTCCAGACACACAGAAACCAGTCTCGTAATTATCTGGCTCTTTGCAGAAATCCAAAATCGTGGCTGCGTGACATTATATGATTCTCATAACCAGCTATAGAAAACAAAATATTTCACAATGCCTTTTCAGCAATTCTGATTGTTTGGGGGGAAATTCTAAACAATAATGGTGTATCTTTTGTCAAAATAATGAATGTAATCAATGTAGAGAAGAGTTAAATAGAAATCATCTGCCTCACAGGCATTTGGAGGGGTGGGAGGGGGGGTATACTGGGTTTCTTGGTGGTGAAAAATGAGTACTAGTGAAGGGAAAGGTTTTTGATCATTGTATGACCAAGACTTAAACCTGAAAGCTTAGTAACTTTTCCCACAGTGATTCAATAAATAAATATAAAAATAAAAATTAAGGTGGAATTCATGCCCAATTCAATAAGCTAATCAGTGGCTGAATAAATAGCAGTACTCCTGCAAAAAAAAAAAGAATACTCCTGTTTAAAAAGGCCAGAAAGACTGGTCAATGGCTGCAATCTCCCACCAGTATATGGGAGTCAGAGGATAGGTAAGACAGAAAAGGGAGTAGTATGACAATAATAGTTGGAAATGATCATGCTGAATAAGAACTGAGTATTGAAACTAGGTAAATGAATATACATAACAACCTTTAAGTATCTGTATTTCAAACCACATTGCCCAAAAGGAGAGAGACAGAGAGAGAGAGAGAGAGAGAAAGAGAGGGAGGGAAAAGAAGAGAGGGCGTTGGAGTGGAAACATTTGAAATACCATGGTGGGAAGGTATAATGGTGGGAGGATTGGTGTTGGAATATTAAATGTAATAAATTATTGTGAACAACTTTATAAAAATAAAATAAAATAAAAAATAAGATAGGAAATAGCGTTTTTTTTGGTTTTGAGCCACATCTGGTTCTTCTCTCATGGATCACTCCTGGTGTGCTGAGAGACCATATGAGATGACGGGGATTGAAACTCAAACCCTGCTTGGTTGCATGCAAGTCGAGCACCCTACCAGATGTACTATTGCTGTAGCCCCAGGAAATGGTTCTTTAAACATTTGTTAGAGTGCATTGATCAATGAATAGGTGGATCAGAAAGCAAAGAAATTTGGCAAAAATTTTCTAAACCATCAACTATCTTTAATGCACTTAAGGGAAAATACATTTATTATCTGTAGCAATGTGTTTTGGTGACAATAATTACAAGACAAATATGACCTATAATTCATTCCTATTTTTCCACAACATGAGGAGACAGTGAAAAGTTGACAATTTGCAACCTGGAAGAGGGTTTTCACCAGAACCAAAGTAAATGTAAATAAATGGAATTATACACAAAAAGGCTTTTAGCTTTTGCTTTCTTTAACTTAATGTGTTTTTCTAGAGTTACTCATTTTGTTGCATGCAAACTGAGTGCAGCAATGAAGGTAATTGGATTGTTGAAGGTCAAGTACAATGCTTCCAAACAAAAAATTTTGAGATTGTACTGTCTCAGAAACTGGTTTGAGATGGCAGATAAACTGATGAACATTAAAAAGGGTCTTATCAAACTGGAAACATTTTAATCTTTTCAAAACTGCAGTCCACAATCTACTTCTGCTAAATCCTGTTTGTATCTGGGCACTCTGCATGCAGCCAGTCAGTTCCTGCAAGAAGGTGGTGGGAAACAGCACCAATAGGCATGAATTAGAGAGTTTGTGTATGTGTGTGTGTGTGTGTGCGCGTGCGCGCACGTGTGTGTGTGTGTGTGTGTGTGTGTGTGTGTGTGTGACTCCCAGCTCCCAGCAGTGCTTGACTTGATGAGGGCTGAGATGCTTCAGTCCAGGAGTACTCAAGGGACCTGTGGAACTGCACTGCTGGTGTTCAAAGGGGCCATGCAGTACTGGGGATCAAAGTCAAGGCCTCACACATGCCAGGCTTGGGCCCAGTGCTTTAGTGATCCCCCACCAATGTCTGTGGCAGTGATGAGCTAGAATAACACAAACAATGACAACAGGACACTCATGCCCCTTACTGAGATGACAAGCTTTGTATTCTAAATTTACCAAGATCTCTAAAAATAACTTATTTGTGGGATCTAGTTATGTACAATCTTTTCAGTCTCTGCTTGAAATGAGAATGATGTTGGCACAAGAAGCTGGAATATAATAACTTAAATAGCTACAAAGACACTTAAAATAATGGGAGTCCAGGGTCCAGCACGTGGTTCAGTGGAAAGCACCGAATTCACCTGTAGGAGATCCCAGGTTTCCAAACACAATTTTTGTGCATCAAGAAAAAAAAAGAAAAGGGATTATGACTGAATGTTACTCATAGTCCAATTCCATCTCTACACTCTGGACAGGGCCTGGTGGATAGCCTCTCATTCTGGGAAACAGGTTTAGATGCAGCAAAGGGGAAAGAACTTTAACAATGCGAGAACAAGAACAAAGAACAAATCTCAAATATCATACCCCAGACATTAATAAAAGAACACACAAAACCTAAAGTTAGTAGGAGGAAGAAATCACTGTCACTGTCCTCCCGTTGTTCATCGATTTGCTTGAGTGGGCTTAGTAACATTGTAGACTTGTTACTGTGTTTGGCATATCGAATATGTCATGGGTAGCTTGCCAGGCTTTGCCGTGCAGGCGAGATACTCTTGGTAGCTTGCCGGGCTCTCTAAGAGGGGCGGAGGAATTGAACTTGGGTTGGCCATGTTGACTGTATGCAAGGCAAACGCCCTACCCGCTGTGCTTTGATAAATATGCAGCCATGTCAGAGAGGATGGTGATGTCTAAGGTGATGTCAATCACCAGCAATTCTTGTGTTAGTGGCGGTGTGTAGACTTTTATTCTGAAGGATAATCCTATGAAGAAATTTGGGTCAAGAGTGCCTTGGCATCTGTTTTATTAATTTTCTATAAAATACATTTATATGTGTATGATCAATTTTTCAATGTGGCCAATAGTTAAATGTAAATAGAAATACAAAACATAAAATATATTTGACTTTGAAAAGCACAAGTTTATTTTAATATATCTTTCTGAAGTCACTATTCAAATTTATGAAGACTACAGTCCATTACATATAGAATCAGTACCGTAGCTTGGCAAGCAAAGACTGTTAGAATAATTGAGGACAAAATTTAGAGTATCTGGTGGTGGTGTGTGGGGTGCAGGTGTGGCGGCTGCAGTGGCTGCGGAGCTGATGAGAAATTCCTAAATTTCCTCTGGGAGTGAGGTAGAATTTCTTAAGAACATAATGGATGGAGAAGAGAATACCTATGGTGGCTGTGAAGGCCCTGATGCTATGTATGTCAAATTAATATCCTCTGATGGCCACGAGTTTATTGTAAAAAGAGAACATACTTTAACATCAGAAACAATAAAAGCCATGTCGAATGCCCCAGGTCAGTTTGCTGAAAATGTAACCAATGAAGTCAATTCTAGAGAGATCCCTTCACGTGTGCTATCCAAAGTGTGCATGTACTTCACTTACAAGGTTCGTTACACTAACAGCTCGACCGAGATTCCTGAATCCCCAATTGCACCTGAAATTGCACTGGACCTGCTGATGGCTGCAAATTTCCTAGATTGTTAAATAAAATAAATTATAATAAACTGTTAACTTTTTTTCAGTATTTAATACCCATAGTTCAGTTAGTAACTTTTCATATATAGGATGTTGCCTGTGTGCAATTGAACTTTTAATGTTCATTGCCAAGAAGAGTATCTTCTGTTCTTTTGCATAGCAATCACTTAATCACTTAACTTCCCGTTAGTCGGCGATTTGCTCGAGCGGGCGCCAGTAACGTCTCCATTTGTCCCTGTCACGTGCTAGTGTAGCCCAATGGCATCTGTTCGCTCTGGGAACATGAAGCGCCTCAAACCGATCATTCATGATCTTGATGAAGAAGTCTGACCATCTGGTAGGTGGGTGGCCACACGGTCTTTTGACATCCCGTGGAATCCTGTCGGTAACAGCTCTAATCCAGCGGTCGTTTTTAAATCTCATTACGTGACCAGCCCATCTGATTTTTGACACCTTGGCAAATGAGACAGCGTCCTTGATTCTTGATCGTCGACGGATGTCGGAACTCCGGATTCTTTCTCTCATTTGAGTGAAACTTGATACTCCAAGCATAGCTCTTTCAATTCTTCTTTGAGAGACCTGAATAGCGTTCTCATCCTGTTTGCGTAGGGCCCAGGTCTCTGAGGCATATGTTAATGCAGGAAGAACAGTGGAATCAAAGAGATGTGCCCGGAGCCGGAGGTTCTTCATCCTCTTAGCTATTTCTTCGACGTTCTTGAAGGCGTTCCAAGCCGCTCTCTTCCTCCTGCGCAGCTCGGGTGCCAGGTCATTTGTCATGTTGACTTCTCGACCTAGGTACACATAGCTGTTGCATTCGGAGAGGGTCATTCCATTGAGAGCGAATGGGGCATCAGGAACGAGGCTGTTTCTCATAAATATTGTCTTCGTAAGATTCAGCTGTAGTCCTGCCTTTCCACACTCACGGTCAAAGTCGGCCAGCATTTGTGCTGCTTGGCTGATGTTTGGTGTTATTAAAACAATGTCATCAGCAAAGCGGAGGTGGTGTAGTTGCTGACCATCTATCTTCACTCCCATTCCTTCCCATTCCAGTTGTCGCATGATGTTCTCGAGGGTGGCACTGAAGAGTTTCAGTGAAATGCCGAACCCCTCTCTTGACATCAACGATTACTTCTTTGTAGAATGGTGAGATCCTGGTAGTGAATCTGCAATACAGCTCACAGAGGATCTTGATGTATTGGGCTTGAATGCCCTGATTGGCTAGGGCTTCAATGACCGTTTCCGTCTCAACAGAATCAAAGGCCTTCTTTAAATCAATGAATGTTAAACAGAGCGCATCTTGAACTCCCGAGAAACCTCAATGAGCTTGGTTATCGTGTGGATATGGTCGATGGTGCTGAATCCTTTGCGGAACCTGGCTTGCTCGCATGGTTGCATAGCAATCAGAGCTGACATTCATTTGCTACATCAGTAAATTAAGGACATTTTTAAAAACTGAGAAATAAACTAATATGCCAATTTGTAGGTAACTTTGCCTTATATTTTGGATGTGATTTTTTTTTAAATTAATGGCTGGAGCGATAGCACAGCGGTAGGGCGTTTGCCTTGCACGCAGCCAACATGGCCGACTCGAGTTCGATTCCTACACCCCTTTCAGAGAGCCCAGCAAGCTACCGAGAGTATCTCGCCCACACGGCAGAGCCTGGCAAGCTACCCGTGATGTACTCAATATGCCAAACACAGTAACAACAAGTCTCATGATGGAGATGTTACTGGACCCGCTCGAGCAAATCGATGAACAACGGGAGGATCGTGCTTCAATGGTGGCACAGTAAATGCTAAAATTTAGGCATAAATGAACATTTTCTACAAGTAAGTAATTGGCTCTGTATTTTTATGTTTTGTTTTGTTTTTTTTTAAACTATCCTGATCTTCTAGACATCATTAGTAGCATTATTAGTTATGCAAATGTTGGATTATAAACATGTTTGTAACTTAGACAAGACTTCAATTTTTTTTATAGCTGTCAAAGACATAAGAGTTGAAATTTTTTATATGTCTTTTGATAAACTGCAGTATTGTTTAAAAAAATTTAGAGTATCTGATCAGAGGGAAATCAAGATTAGCAAAATTTCAAAACCATAATTCAATATCATTGTGAAAATTTATGAAGGGGTTAAAATCTTAGAATTTGTTAAAATCTAAGAATCTATTGTATGAAATTAAAATGTAACGTGAGGGGCTGGAGCAATAGCACAATGGGTAGTACGTTTGCCTTGTACGAGGCCAACCGGGTTCAATTCCCAGCATCCCATATGGTCCCCTGAGCACTGCCAGGAGTAGACAAGCAGTGAAGTAAAACAAAATTTATTTGGAGATTTTTTGAAGGGAAGGAGGGAGAGAGTGGAGAGTAAGGTGCTCACGAGAGAACCCCGGCTTCTCCAAGGGCGGAGAGAGCCCCTACACACATCCCACCATTAAACATGAAAGCATGAAAGTATGCAACTCAAGAGTGGAGATACAAGCACCACCAATGCTCGGGTACCACATGTGCTCTGGCCACATGGGAGCAAGCAGCACATGGGCTCAGGAAGCATATGTGCACCCTTCCTTTGCTCAAGGTGGCTTTTATATGGTTTCTCCAACCTGTCCCCATGTGAAGCTTCTATCAGGTAATAGTCCGTTGCTAAGAAGGTTATGAAAGGGTTGGGAGTGGTGATAGTGTTTGAAATTCCTTTCCTGGCCTTTTGTTTCTGCTGAAGCTTCTCTGGATCTGTTGCAGACGCCAGATGAGGGTCTTATCAGGCCTTCGTTCCTGTTTCTGCAAGGTTGGCCTTCAAAACTTCAGGGCTATTCCCAGGAAACTACTGCCATTGCCTTGGGAGGGGAGCCTTCCCTATCTGCCTGCCTGTCTACATCAGGGGCACAAGAGAGCACAATTAGTAGCTGAAAAGGACGGGATTTTTCCTATTAATCATTCAATTTTTTAGAATATTTTTAGGGATAGCAGAGAAAAACAAAATATAAAAATCAAATTCATTCAAATTGCTCTCCATGATACTGAAAGGTGGAGCACAAAAGAGGGAGAAAAGGCTCAAATAACCATGCAGACATCAAACCCAAACAAACACCTTTCTTTGACTATGTGGAAATGCAATGGCTTTAAAGTAGAAGTGCAGCCTAAAATTCAAGACGCAAAGTTTAATCTAAGGTTTCAGACTTTTGAGGGAAAGCTAAAAAACTTTCTTTCAGAGAAATTCCTCAGGTGGTGATGGGGAAGAGAACAGTGAACATAACACTGGCACCCTAGTAACAAGCAATTATGCTTCATACGTTTAAATAGCCTCTCTACTCCCATCCTGTTTTCTTTCTCTTTTTTTTTCTGTCCTGTCAAGAGCATGGAATTCTGAACTCTGATAGAAAGTGAACAGAAACCCAAAGATCATTGTGTTTTTAAGGGTTACGGGTTGCCAGTGCTTCCTGACTGTTTATCATGAGAAAGTTAACTCTTTCAAGCTCTTCAGCCATTTGCAGCTTTTGTCCACATCAAGATGAAGTGGCTCCTTGTTTCCAACAATGGGTCACATCATCAAAGCCCCTGGAGGTGGCATGTCACACTGTGCAAATGTCACCCCTGGGTCACACGCAGGAGCTGGGAAGTCAGAACATGACCCTGGAAGGGAGACCCCACCACACACACAGACGAGCAGTCTCTGCCCCTAAACACACCTTTATTAATAGCAGCAAACCATAAACACAATGGTTTAACTCCTGAAAGATGACACACATGAGAGAATGAAGAAGAATAATTAGAGAAGATTGTGTGAAAGAGCGCTTCTTTCCCACAGTGAGAATGGTTCATTCTCTTTATTTTTTTATTTTTATTTTTTAGATTTTTTATTAGTGAAACACCATGAGGTACAGTTGTAGATTTACAAATTTTAAATTTTTGTGCTTGGGTTTTAGTTATACAATGATCGAATACCCGTCCCTCCACCAGTGCCCATTCTCCACCACCACTAATCCCAGTATCCCCCCCACCAAACGTCCCCCCATCAGACGTGATTTCTTTTAGATACTTTGCCTTTGCTGCCTCCATCCTTGTGGCCGGACTGGGCATTTCATAAACAGTAGAACTCATAGGGGTGGGCGGTATGAAAGTATAGCTGATAAGGCACTTGCCTTGCATGCAGCCGAATTGGGCTGGATCTTAGGCACCCCATATGGTCCCCTGAGCACTGTTAGGAGTTATTCCTAAAGGCAGAATCAGAAGTAACCCCAGAGCACCACTGGGGTCAGGCCCCCAAACAAAAACAAACAATCAAATAATGGGATTCAAGTTACAAACTGGCAAATGATGTCTGTTTTCTAACAACAATTGAATGCAAAAGTGTTAGAAGTCCTTATTGGTCTTTCCCAGTTTTAAAAAAGTGTGTATTTAAAATAACAATCAGATAATTCAAAGGTAAAGGAAGAAACTTTTTCCTAAGTCCCCTTCTCAGATGTTGACCTTCTGCCAGATCAAAGACCCCATATACACAGAGAACTTCTTTGCCTGGAACTCTTACTGAATGCTTTTCTCTTTATTATTACTATTTATGGCTACCTAGGCCCTCATTAATTTCTTATACTCCTAGACACTAGCAAGAGGCTTTTAAAAGATCTTGCCTAAGATAGCAAACTGTAGCAGTAAAAAATAAGATCACTTCAAGAGTACAGAAAAATCATTTGAAGAACTTTAATAACCATTTATGATAAAATTCAATACATTAGATGGAAATAATGTTAACCTAAGAAAAAAGCAGCTACTAAAAGATCAAAACTTACACCCAGAGCTGACATCACACTAAAGGTCAAAGTTTCAAAGAGATCTCTTAATGAGAGGGGGGTTATGCTCTCACTGTTTCCTACCAGAATTGTAGTCACTTGAATTGCAAGGTTAAGAATACAGAGAAACCTCGGGCTGGAGCAATAGCACAGCAGGTAGGGCGTTTGCCTTGCACGTGGCCAACCCGGGTTCGATTCCCAGCATCCCATATGGTCCCCTGAGCACCGTCAGAAGTGATTCCTGAGTGCAAAGCCAGGAGTAGCCCCTGAGCATCGCCAGGTGTGACCCAAAAAGCAAAAAGAAAAAAAGAATACAGAGAAACCAAAGAGATAGAACAGTGTAAAAGCACTT